CGTTGAAGCACTAATCTGTATAAAGCGGGTCTGAAACCTGCTGTAGAGGGAAGGCAGAGGTGTTTTTAACAACTAAAAGGTCTAGATTTTCAATTCACACTGAGCAAATTCAGAGATTAATTGCTCAGCCTAACGGATGACTTTTTCTCAACATCAATGCACAGTGTGTCTAAGTATTTCACTTGGAGATCTCACCAGCTCTTTTGCAAAACAGAAGGAGGTTTCCAGTCTCTCTGTCCCTGGGACCTGCCACCCTGTAAGTAGGGGTGAAGATGACACAGTGAAGAAATGGAGTACAGAAGTTTATTTCCTACTGCTTCACTAACTAGTCAGATTGCCTTAATTGGAGTTTCTAGGAGCCCTTCAGGGAAACAAGAGGTAATTCAATGTGTTGAGTATTCCAAAGCATTTGGACTCAGCATCGAGGGGCCAGGCTGCTGGGGTGGTATCTATTTCTAGTCGAGTGATCAAGGACCACCTTTGTGTCAGCAGGCCTCAGCTCCCCTGTTTATAAAATGATTAAGTTAGTTAATACTATGGTCCTTTCTGATTTGTGTTCTCTGAGATGCTGGACTATCTGGAGACCAAGTCAGTGTGAGGATCACAGGAAATTGCAAGGCTGGGCAGCAGATCTCCCCTGAGGCCATGTCTAGTTTCTCTAGTCTTGGTTTTAGAAGGCCAAAGGGACCCGCACTGCTGCCCAAGGCTTGGGGACCCAGAGGATTTACCACTGCTCTCTCCATCATATTGTCAGCTGAGGAAAGACACCCCAGCTTTCATGTGACCCCCCACCACCAGTAGGGTGGCTCATCCTTCCCCCTCCACCACCTCTCAAATCTCACTGTGTGCCAGGCATGGGGGTGAGGAAAACCTTTCTGCCTAAGCTTAGGGCAAGGTGAACATGAAGGTGTTAGAGGACTCGAAGCCTCAGCTGACCCCAGCTGAAGTGCTCCTATCTAGCGAGAGGACTGAATCAATGCAGATCATGGTGGCGAGAACCTCTCACACACAGCTCTGTGTTCCTGCTGCTGCCGCTGAGAGCTGAGCTCTTCTCTCCATCACAGGAAATAACAGACGGCTGTCTGCCACACAGTTCCAAAACAGGTCAAGGAAAACCTCTGAAACTCAGCACTCACGGCTCATAAAGGACCCAGGTCTCTTTTCTGGATTGTTCTCAGTGTTTCTTTCTCAGCTCGATGGGAGCCAAATAGCTAAGGAAGCCGCAGCACTTGCATTCCGTCACTCAGCAAAGCCTTACTGAGCACCTGCCACATGCTAGACTCTGGTCCGTGACCACCTCCTGCTCAGACGCCATTGTACAAGCCACAGAAGCGCTGTGCTGGACTACGGCTTGGGAGGTATAAACAGCAGCTTCTTCATAAATGAGCCAACACTTGTGTCAGAGGGCCTTGTGAAGACTGAGCATTAAATCTTGGCCACGGTCAGCTGGTAGACTTCCCTAGCATGTCCTGGGTCTGAGTGTCTCTCAGCTGCTTGAGGTAAAGGGCATTTTTGCAGAACAAGACTCAAGAAACAGAACGGCCTTGGAGGGGGTTTGATCACTGATGGGGAAGGGAGCTCCACACCAGTTTCTGCAGATCTCCTTGCTGATGGGAAAGCCCACACCCCCTGAGTTTTTCCAACTTGGTAGGAGAGACCATAAATGGGAAAAACAGCACTATTTTTAGAGAAGCCAGTGGACTAACAGAGCTAGAGATCAAACCCAGATGGTCTGATGCTTAAATGGGTGTGCTCTACCCCTGCCTCTCTTATGCAATCCAATTAACAAGATTCTGCTCTCCCTTGTGCAGGACTGAAAATTGAGCCTGGATCCTTGTGCCTGCCAGGGAAGTGCTGTGCCTCTGAGCTATACCTCCAGCCCTAGCTGGCTGGGTGTCACGCTGCATGTCTGTAATCCCACCCTTTAGGAAGCTGAGGCAGGAGGATCCCTTTGACTATGTAGTAATTCAAGGACAGCCTAAAATAAACTACATAGCAAAACCCTTGTCTTTAAATATTTAAATACGGATCACTTTGTGTGTCTGCTTCCTTGTAGGAAAGAGGTTAGGTCATTAACCTCCTACAGCCCCAGGGGCTGGCCCATGGTGAGTGCTCAGTATCTAATGAGTAAGATGGGTTGAGGGGTAAACAGAAAGACTCCTTCTTCCTTCTCCTGGTCTTATTTCTTACCTCCTGGACCAAAATATAAATATTCATAAAAGGTACTCTTCCTTGTGTTTGGGGCTCTGGTTATAGGTGAGTTCTGTACTCCCAGGAGACAATGGGGGACATGAAAGGCCATGTCTGCACCCTGTCAGAAGCTGCCGGGCCCCTGGAGGGTGACTTCCCTCTCTCAAAGCTGAACACTCTTGTCACTGAAGGTCTTGTGTCTGTTAAGAGGTATTTCTTGGCTGATCAGAGACAGAGATCTGGTCACCTGTCCGACTTACACAGCTCCAGGGAGGTGGACAAAGCTCACGTCCCCACCACCTCACAGCCTCATGGTGCCTCCAGAGGGCTCCGGAGAGGGCCTTGGAAATCCACAGGTGCCTGCCTTCATCCTCCTACCCTCAATGGGCCAGCCAGTAAGAGCCAGGCTGCACGCTGAGGCCGGTGGCCAGGAAAATGCAGAGTCCCAGGCCTTGCTTGGTAGAGGCTGACTTCCTTGAACTGCACCAAGACAGCCCCAGGTTTCCACAGCTCGGCGCCAAGGACTCTGTGGCTTCAGCAGCTTGGTGTGAGAGCCCCGACTCAAGCTGCAGGCTGCTCTGGGACCTGGCAGGCCCTGGGGCCCCGGCTTTTCCCGCCCATCCTTGCCGCCTTTACCGCGAAACAACCAGTGCCAGGAAGTCATCACTAGGATTTCAGAACTGCATTGTGAATTATGCAAAGCGCCTGGATAATTACAGCAAGGCGCTCAGAACTCAGGAGGCATATGCTCTGGCTGTGTGTGTGTGTGTGTGTGTGTGTGTGTGTGTGTGTCCACTGGGCTTCTTGATGCCCTGCTTGATTAGGGACTGGTGACAGAAGAGAGAACATTCCAATTTTGATTTTGTGATGATTTCATGAGTCTTTGGAATATTTTTCCTTGTTGGTGCCTACAGATGGGGCACTGCAGCGGCGCTGGAGTCGGAGAAAGGGCATTTTGCAGCCCAGGAGAGCCATGATCCTCCTACCTCCAAGCCCAGTACTTGCAAGGCTGCCCTTAGTCCCCCTGGACACACCCCCCTAAACTTTTTCCTGGAGATAAACCCGAGTCTGGTGCCCCCACTACTGTCTTCATCTTGGGCCCAGACAAATTAGTTCGACTCTTGGAAGTTCTTTGTTCTTAACCAAGCGCCCCCTTCCGCCTTGGCATCCTAAACCGCGGTGGCGGTAGCGTGGACCGCAGAAGCCAGTGAATTTCTGGCGGGAGCCAGAACCCAAGGATCCAAGACGGAGACTGGCATTTTAATTTGTTTTTCAAACCCTAACTGGAAATCCCTTCCCTCTCTGGGTTCAGAGTTCGAATTTGTGCTACGAAGCAGGCAGAGCACATGTATCTGCCCAACTTGTCCAAAAAAATTTTTTTAAATGTTGGCTTCTCACCTTGGCCCCCTAAAAAGCCCCTGGGGTGTATGGCCTTGCCCCCAGTGCCATACCTCGTCCCAATTCCAGACACCCAGGTGGGGTGGGGTGGGCCCCTTGGGACTGGTCACCCGCCCTCGGGTTGCCCAGGGGCCCCAGCACCCAGGCCCGCGGTTGCGCTGCCCTGCGATCGCGACTCCGGTGCGCGGCCCCAGGCCCCGGACCCGCAGAGGTCGCGGCGACAGCGCGCTCGGTCACGTGCAGTGCCCCCCCCCCCGCGCGCCTTGGCGCACGGCCCGCGCCCCCTGGGACACCCTGGAGGGGGACCCGCTGCGCCCCGCGAGGGCTGGAGGCGAACGCACAGCTCCCTAGCGCACCCAAACTGCTCCGAAGCCCGAGTTGGTGCTGGGTTTGGGGACGTGTCCGGGCCGGGCCGAACCGGACCGGGCGGGCCGAACCGCTGAGCGCTGGCCACCGCTTGCCCGCTCCGGACCCCGCGGCGGGGGCGGGAGCTGACCCCTGACCCCACCGGGCCCACGCCCAGGGGACAGGCTGGCGAGCTCTTGTCCTGCAAGTTCAAGCTGCCGACAGAGTTTAAGTCGATTTAACGTCGTGCAGATCGGAGGTCGCCGCCCCCTGGGTGCGCGCTCCCCCAGCGGCGCGGCGGGACCCGGCTCTGGAGGCCGGGAGGGCGCGGGACGAGGGGGCGCTCTGCAAACCCCGGGCCTGCCGAGGCGATCCAGCGACACCCGCTGGGGACGAGCGGCGGGAGGGCGATCTCCGCGGCTCCGAGCTGCTCACCGAGGCCAGAGCCGCCTGCGCAGCGCCGGCTGGGGAGGCTTCGCCTGGAAGAAGCTGCAGCGCCCTCCCCGCGGCTGCTGCCCAAACCCGCCACGCCGAGGCCGGAGGGAGCCCTCGCCCGACCCCGAGTCCACTCACAACGACCTCAGCTCGGACACTGCATAGATAGTTGCAAAATGAATAAATTACTCACCTCGGATCAGATCCAAGTTTTACCCAACAGAAAGGCCACGGGACCAAGAATGAACCAACTCACATGGTCGTGTCCCGCGTGCACAATCACACACAAACACAGCCACTCAGTTTCCTCCATGCATCCATCTGTCTGGCACTCCTGGAGAGAAGGGGAAAGCGTTTTGAAAACAACCCGTCATCCCGCCCCTTCTCCCTTGCCACGAAATATAAGAACGCATTTTTATTAGGAGCGCAGCGCCGTCCTCACCATCACGCACGCAGAGTCCCATATTCACTCTCCAACTCCTCGGCTCCGAGAGCGCCTGCATTTTCCCTGGGAGCCGCTTGGAGGTTCATTAATATCATTAGCATTTAACCCCCTCCCTCTCCCCATCTCCTCCCCGCACATGGCTGACGTCAGACCCCGCCAGGAGTTGGGGGAAAAGCTAAGTGGGCCAGGGACGCCCTATTCCCCTCCCAGCGGCTGCCTGTCAGAGCGCTTCTGGGGATATTACAGGGGACCCAGCCCGCAGCGACAGGCACAAAGTCACGGGGTAATGAACTTCGGGGACCCTTCGCCGCTGCGCGCGCGGCTCTCCCCGGAAACCCAGACCTGGCCGCCGCTTCCCTCCGGAGATTTCCTGGCCATCTAGCTTTCCCACTGCGCTCTGGGTTCCGGCAGCGCGGAGCCCCGCTGCCTCCGAGACTGCAGTCGGTGGCGCGTTCATCTTAACATCAGCGGTCTGCAGAGCTTGGCCGACACTCTGCACGCCCGAGAGAGGCAGAGACTGAAGACTGAGTCCCAGGAATGGGGAGAGCGCGCGCCTTTGCCTCTTTTGCACCGTAGGAAGGCCATTTTCGCGTCTCCATCCCTGTCCTCCGGTTCCTCCCTCTTCTCCTCCTCCTCCTCCAGCCTGCCTGTCCGTCTCTCCATCTGTCTGTGCATCTGTGTGTCCGTATCAAGCAGCACTCCCAGCAGCAGCAGTTTTGCAAGAGCCGGGAATAAACTTATAAAGATGCTGGAATTTCCACCGTGGAACGGATTTTGAGCTCCTGGAGAAGAGCGCTGCGCTCCAGCGATACCCACCTGCCCAGCCCGGAGTCTCGCAGGCTGGAGGGCGGCTGGCGAGCTGCGGCGCCCGGCAGCGAGGCGGGCGCTGCCGGCCGGGACTCGGGCAGTGCCCACCAGCCGCTTCGTTCCGGGACCGCCAGCATGAGCAAACCGGCCGGATCAACAAGTGGGTACCTCTCGGGCTGTCGGGGCCCAGGCGCGCTACCTGGGGCGGGCGATCCGGCGGGGAGGCCTGGGAGGTCCTGCCCGGAGAACTCAGCTCCGAGCCCCCGGAAGGGACCCCAACGGGTGTGTGCCCTTTGGCCCAGCCCCTTGTGGACCGTGAGTTGGAGCGTTTCGTGGGGAAAAAGGAGCAATTTCGTTCTTCTGAATTGCTTAACCCCGTTCTCTCCAGCGTGATGGGAAGGTTGTGACCCACACAACTAGCAGTTCAGCAAGCTGTTTCCATTTAGTGGCCAGGTGCTGGGGATGAGAAGGGTATGACAGGGGTGGAAAGTGGGCAACAGCTTCGGGCTGCAGCACAATAACACAGTCGCTTAGAACTCCGAGCTCCAGCGCGCAAAAGCAACTCTGTGCAAAGCGGATTTTGATTGGAATGCTTTGCACCCCGTTTCTAGCTATTTCAAATAATCCTGCAAACTAGGAAGCAGAAACAATTTAAAAGTCACATTTTCCTTAATCCTAAATCCGCGTAGGTCATAACTGGGGAATTTAAAGTATGGCGAACCACTCTAGCAAAGAGAACCAAATCCCTAATCTTAAAGACTTTTCTGAGTCGCAGCTCTGCAGAGGCACAAGTGTGCGGCCTGCTCCTTCCGAGCTCTTCTCTCTGTCCTGCAACTTTCTCAGCCTCTGGCTCTCCCACAAAACGCCCAACGCGCCTGACCTCAACCCACCCCCTCCTCCCCGATCGGAGTGCGGAGCTGCTGGAGTGCTCTGTGTGATGGCATCTGGGCACCCGGGACTGTGCAGGCCTGCGCCGGCCTTGGGAAGGCGCGGCTGCGGTGCTCGGGTTTCTCAATTCCCGCCTAACTTGGGTCGGCGGCTGCGGGTTCCAGGATCCGGGGCTGGGGGCGGCCACTGGCGCAGTCCCCGGGTCCCGGAGCTCTCTCACCGCCTGTGTTGTTTTCGCCCATAGCATTTTTGGCGCTCGGCGCGTTCCTTCCCGCCCCCTCCCCCCTCGCTCGTCCTCATTGTCCCTTTGAGAGTTGGGAGAGTCCGAGATACTTCTGAGGACTGATAATGAAGTCCCACTTTAGAAGGATGCAATGCCCGACCCACCTCCCACCCCCACAAGAAGTAGGTTGTGTTTCCATGTAGTCCGTTTGTTTTGGTTTGGAGAATGGCATTTTAAAATTGGACCAAAGAGAACGTGAACAAAAAGAAACTGGAAAAATGCTTAGAGCTAAGCTAGAGAGAGACGAGAAGGACCCTTAACTGTGGTGCCAAGGCTCGGTCCTCCCTGGCAGGACCCGCGTTTCCCGCTAGCCTGTGGCCTCCCCTGGCCCTAGCTGTTTGATCTGGAGAAGCCAGGCGGACTTGTCATCCATGTTCCTGGGGTGAGCGTCTGTCCCAGGATGTGCAAAATCTGGAATTGCAGCTGCATTCCAAACATCCATGCCAAAACCTAGCCCAGGGGCCTAGGCAGGCCTCCTCACTGGCTGGCTCGATAGCCCGAGGACGGGCCTCCACCTCCTCCCTGGGCTCTGTGCCCTCCCGGGTATGGATCACCCTGGGGGCTGGGAAGGGGAGGCCTCAGAGGCTAGGGTAGAGCAGGCGGCTGGAAGGCCTGGTCCCCTGTATCTGTGCCCTCCCTCTGGGGGCCAGGATGCAGGAGGCTAGTTTGGGAGTGCAGCCTGGGCCCAGCCAAGAAACTTGAGAGCTTCCCAATTTGCAACTCTGTGTCTGACCCAGGAAGCTCTGAGCCCAGCTCAAGTTGAGGCTGCTCAGGCCCGAGAGGCAGCAGCCCCCCACCAGCATCCTGGAGCCCTTTGACCTGATCTGAAGCCACCCAAAGCCTGTGGTCCTCGGGCCTGGGGCGGCAGAGGGGTTCAGCACACAGCAGCCCGGGTCAGGATGGGGCCGGGCAGCGACTTTTTGTCTCCCGCCTCGCTGGGCCTCGAGCGGCTGAAGGGCACAGAGATGTCACTGAGAGCCCCGCCTGGGTGGTAACAAGACCCCGGCCAGTCACCCCTGCAGCCCAGACTAACTTCTTTCAACAACCCCTGATGGTAATTACAGTAATCGAAGCTGCCATATATCTTTAGACAATTATGACACACAAAAAGCCCCGAGGGGACCCCCTGGCGAGGGAAGTTAAGAACGGTTTCCCAGCCTCGGGAACCTCCGGCTTGCCTCCCGTCGGAGCTCGCCCTGCTTGCTAAATGAGAGGAGCTTTGCAACCAGCTTGTCTTGTGACCCGAAGTCACCTTAACGTGGCTGGGTGGCAGAGGCTGAGGCGCAAACCGCTATGCCCTGGAATTTTCCTGTCCCTCCTCCCTGCGCTCTGCCCCAGCCCTACTCCCTGTGTCTAATCTGGGGGCCGCAGCTCCGAGGGCTGCCCTGAGCCACAGCCGACCTTCTGCCTCGATTGCCCAAAGGACAAGCAACCCAGAGTCCGGCCCAGGGAGCCCAAAGAGGCTCAGCCGCGGGGCACCGGTCTTCCCTCCAGCCCAGCTGGGTTTTCCAGAGATCTATGTCCCTGGCCTCCTGTGTGGATGGGGAGCTCGGAGAGACACCACCACTGCTTTTTCGTGCACTCATCTCGGCATCAACATTGCCACCGCGAAGAGGACGGCAGGGGCGACAGCGTTGCTGAGCCCTCAGCAAGAACCGCAGCGCGACCAGAGAGCTGTGCGTTTGCAGAGAGGCTGGTTACAAACCATGGAAACCCAAGTCCTCTGCTCCAGAGTGAGCGCGCTGCAGCAGCGCTCCGGAGCCCAGCTCCTGGGGATCTGGGAGTCATCTGGGGCACGGGGGCTGGAGGACAGACCCGCTGTGGCCCCACTTAGCTCCCTGCGGCCCCTCCCTTCCCCAGCACAACCTCCCCTCTCGCCCTGCGGGAGAGGGGGCGCCCAGACGGTGGCCACTGCGCGGAGCGCCTCCCCCGCCGGCCTTTGTCGCCTTCCGAATTCCCATGCTACTCTTTTTGACGGGTCACTGGTGGTTCTATAGGCAGGTGCCGCGGCGGGGTTGTAATTACCCCGGCTGAGCCCGGTCGTTGCCGACCCCCCCAGGCGAGCACTCCCCGGCACCCCCGGCCCCCCTCCACCTGGGGCGGAGGCTGGGCCCGGTGCGAGCGCGCCTGCAGCCTAGGAATCCGGGAGCGCATTTGCACCTCGGAGCCCCAGGCCCTCCTCACCTCCCCGCTGCCCGCCCCGGCTTTCCCTGCCCAGGCCCAGCCGCTCCTGGGCAGCGCTGGAGGTTCAAGGGGCCTGAGGCTGCCTGGGCCCGGCTGGAGAGCTCCGGACAGGTAGTGATGGATGGGAAAATCAAGGGTTAGGAAGTTCATTGTGACTAACTGATTTGTTATTAAAGTGTTAACACTTTTTAAATGTCCTCCTTGGTTTTGCGTTTTAGAAAGGTACTTTCTGGACCCTTGAACCTCAGATGGAAACAATCTCCCCTCCCTGAATTTTCGGCTGTCACCCTCTCCCCCACTACGCCTCCCTCCCCGGGCCTTGGCCACCCCAGGCTTCCAGGGATTCCAAAGAAAGTTTTCTTAAATCCGAATCCAATGGGGTGAGAGAAACAGGCCAGAGAAATCACAGACTTAAAAAACAATCAGCTTCCATCAGCGGCGGGAAAACCCGGAGAAAGGCCAAGCAGAGGCTAGGCGAGGGGCCAGGGTTTGGGGAGAAAGGGTTTGGGGGTGTAGGGAGCAGGGCTGGCTGTGCCCCGCTCAACCAGCGGGGATGCCACCGTCTGATCACTGCCCTCCGCCTGCCCAGACCAGGGACACTTTGCAGAGAAAAATTTTTCCTCAAAGAAATAATTTCTCCAAAGCGATCTGCCAAGCATGTTTTAAAAGCAGGTAAAGAACAAATTGGGCGATCACCACTATCCTCATGATCATTAATAATCTGACTATTAGCATCACAATAATAATCCTGATAGTAACAGCAGCCGGGCGGAGGAGCTCCCAGAGAACTCCGCGGCCTTCCAGCCGTGTTTGTGTTTCTTTTTCCTTTTGCGTTTCAAGTTTGTCTCCTCGAGCGCTCACGAGCAACTTTCCGCGTTACATGCAAGAGCCGAGCAGGGAGGCGCAGTGTCGGGCTGCGCGGCCGCCCCGGTCTGCTGTAATCTCTCAGTCCGGAGTGGGTCTCGGCGATTAGAGGGGACCCAAATACATGTAGCGGTGCATGAATAATGCTCATTGTAGGAGACTGACACTCGCTCGGGGAAAAAAGTATGGCTCTGAAATCACTTCATTATTTGCTTTTAGCGCAGCTTCGGTGCTAATCCCTTCAGAGGTCAGATTGCTTAGCATCCCTCTCCTCCCTGCCTCCCCCTGCCTCCCTCTCCTGCACCTCCCCTGCCCCCGCCCGGTCCCTCCCCGCCCAGGCCGCATCCTGGACATCCCCTGCAAAGTGTGCGGCGACCGCAGCTCCGGGAAGCACTACGGCGTCTACGCTTGCGACGGCTGCTCCGGGTTTTTCAAGCGCAGCATCCGGAGGAATCGGACGTACGTCTGCAAATCTGGCAATCAGGTACCTCAGCCGGGGGTGCTGCACCCCCCCAGCCGCCCCCCAGCCGCTGCTCCCGGGGTCCAGGGACCCCTGCCTGGCTGACTTCTCCTCCTGCCTGGACTCTGGGAGGCCTTTGGCTGCAGAAAGGTGGGTGGGTGCTAAGGGGAAGTCTAAAATCTCACGGCTCTGCCTATAGTTTAAAAAAATATTTTGATGGTGCTGAGGCCCACACCCAGGGGTTCTGGAGCCAGCCCGGGGCACCTGAAGAACTTGGGAATCCAAGCCACAGGTGACCACTCCCAGCAGCACCCCAGCTCCTTCTGACTACAGCCAGAAGAGGCAGAAATGAAAGGCTCAGGGACAGAGTCAAGGTCACAGCCAGAAGGGGCCGAGACCCCAAAGGGGGCCAGCAGAGACAGAGGCTGCCGGCGCCTGCTCTGAAAGCTTTAGCTAGGCCTGGCCAGAAAGGGAAGAAGAGAAGGCTCCAGGGGGGTGCACCAGGGACCCTGCCTGTTTCCATCGCCTTCCTCCTCCTCCTCGGCTTAGAAATGTGCTGGCGATTGAGTTTTGCTCTTGACAAGCGAGCTGTCTCTGAAGGACAGGTGCATGAGGACACAGGTGGGGTGTAAGCCAAAGCCTCCGGGCAGAATGGGCAGAACTCCTGACGGACTTAGCTGTCCCCCAGCAGTGGACTTCAGCCCCAAAGACCAACCTTCCACTGCCATACGCTGCTGTAACCTCAGCCAGGCACGCAGAGCCTCTGTCCAGAAGCCTCCACTTCCTGTCCTGGGACGATTCTTGAGATGCAACAGTCAGGGGTCCACCTTTGGTGATCAAATAACAAAAAGCTTTCACTAGTTCATGCATAGAATACACATAAACACATACATACAGCATCTGTTTTTTTGTTTTTGACTTTTTCTTTTTTATCAGTACCGGGGATCGAACTCACGACTGCCTGCTTGCAAGGCAGGTGCTTATGCTGCTGAGCTAAATCCCCAGCCCACATACAGCATCTGGTGCTAATGAATTATTCTGAATTTTTTTTTTTTTTTTGGAGCCCATGTCTGTTCAGCTTCTGAAGGATTTACATTTGCCAGCAAATAGAAGAAGACATTTGCATAGGATAAGTTAAACTCTCCAACCTGTGTTACCTGTTTAACCGAGTCCTGGGGTCTGTATCATTTCTAGCTGCATCCTAGAGCAGGTTATATATGCACACAGGACTGTACCCAGGGTTCCTGTAGACTTGGGATTACTGTCAGGTGTCTGCTCTTACTTTTTTTTTCAGTGTTGGGGATGGAACCCAGGGCCTCATGCATGCTAGGCAAGTGCTGTCAATCCAAACACATAATTTTAAATCCAAACATTGATATCAGTCCAGGCACTTGTGAAGATTGATGATAGACCATCATGCCTGGTGCTCTTCCGGAGTAGAAGGTGGCTGAGTCAGGGACTCACTGGTCCTTCTCTTGTGTGTCATCTATTTAAATACATTTGAACTGATTTTAAGACACACTTAAGAAACAATGGAGGCTACCATTTGCATTTGTTCATCAGAATACTTGGAAGATATCATCCCAGGACAAGTGCTTGATTACATCTATTAAATTCTTCAGACCTCTTTACGTTAAGCTATTATACTGGCAAAGATGCCTGAAGGACTGTCTTGGGAACTAAAGATTATTTCCTCCCCTCTTTGGTTCTAAGGCTGGAAAAATAATATTTCAATTAATCATTAACAATTGCAAAAAACATTTAGACACTTGAGGAACGCCTGTCCCATCTTTATTTTAAACGAGTCAACTTTTTCACTGTTATTTTGCTTTGTTTTTTGTCCTGGACATTGAACTTGGGGCCTCTTGCATGCTGACCGTGCATGTGCTCTACCCTGATCAAGTCAATGAGTCTTTAACTGGAGGCACATGATCATAAAAATCCACGCAGCTCAGTGTGTGATATTCCTTATGTGATATCTCAGAGAAAAGATACTCATTCTAATTCAAAGTATATGCATTTTGGTGATTCAGAAATAAAATAAAAATGCATATATTTTATTGTCATCCTCACTACAAATGTTAACAGTGGCAATTTATACAAGTAGAGGAGAGCATCAAGCTTCTTTGATGTTTTGACGTGTAAAACCCTTGTGGCCACTGTGCCCTCTTACCGTATCCTGTCCTCACCTCCAGAGTGTACTTCTTGTCCTGCTCTTACTTGGCCCAGATTTACTCTGCAGAGCCTATTTATTTATTTTTCAAGACAGGGTCTCATTATCTTGTTCAGGCTGTCCTTGAACTCATTATGTAGCCCAGGCTGGCCTCAGACTTGGCAGTGATCCTCCTGCCTCAGCCTCCTGAGTGCTGGGATTACAGCTTGTACCACTACACTCAGCCTTTTCTTATCTTTAATAAATGTGCAATCTAGCTGGGCATGATGGCACACACCTGTAATCCCAGCACTCAGGAGGCTGAGGCAGGAGGGTCACTGTGAGTTTGAGATCAGCCTGAACTTTGTAGTGAAACCTTGTCTCAGAAAGAAAAACAAAAGTGTGAAGCCTTATTTTAAAATACCTATGCACAGTGTCAGAAAGGTAACTCAGTGGTAGAGCTCTTGTCTGACATGCAAGAGGCACAGGTTCCAACCTCAGCACTGTCAAAGGAAAAAAACCCTTATGACACGATTGCCTCAGCAATAACACCAAACACTATATAAATCCCAAAATAAACTGTATAAATTTCCTTTTAATTGTCAACACTGTGTCAGAAAACTGAATTATTTTCTTTTTTTTCAACTTTTTATCGGTACCGGGGATCAAACTCACAACCTCCTGCTTGCAAGGCAGGTGCTTATGCCACTGAGCTAAATCCCCAGCCCCTTATTTTCTTATTCACATCAGATAAATATTTCTAAACCATTGACTAGCTTTTTATCAGTTCTCAAGTGCACAGTTGCAATCCATAGTCTCATTTTGTCAGGCGACCCATCATCCTACCTTTCTGGGCATATTTAACCAGTGAAGTCTGGATTTCCCCCGATTCCCCGCAGACCTTAGCCGCCTGGACCACCCTGGCTTCTGCTGACTTTCTGGGGATGACTGTTTCCATGAATAATGGGGAACACGAACTTTAAAGACAGAAGGTTTCTCAACGTGCTGCTTGTTAGGGCTTAAAGTACAAAAACAACACTAAAGTGTCAGAAAAGAGAAGCCTAAGTGGGACAGATTTGTCTGCCAGGTGGATGGGCTCGCCCAGACGTGGCTGCACGAGGTGGACTCAAGACCTGAAAGCTCAGAGTATTTGGCAGAAGGAAGAGGAAGGTCTTGACCCCAGAACCTGGTCCTCTAAGAGCACTGGGCCGGTCGCTGTCTTCGGTCCTGAAAAATCTGTCCCTGCTTGAAGTCGCCCTGGAGAGCTGCTCCCTTCCGAACCGGCCCATCTGGGAAACCGCACCCTCTGATCCTTCCCCCGCTGGGAGAAGGAACTTTTCCTGCTTGACTGAGCCCCTGGGGTCATGGGTTGCCCTTTTGAGGCAACCTTGGGAGTCCCAGCCTTTTATTCCCCTGGCCCTGCTCGGTCCCAAGGCTGTCCCGTGTCACCAGCCCCGCCCCACCGCTCTGGGGGTCCGGTACCCTTCCTCCCGCAGGGCACTAGCTTCTGGTTCTCTCCTGAGGGTGCTGGGGACCCCTGTGCTCTGTTCCAGGGAGGCTGCCCGGTAGACAAGACACACAGAAACCAGTGCAGGGCGTGTCGGCTGAAGAAGTGTTTGGAAGTCAACATGAACAAAGATGGTAATCAGTCTATCCCTTTATTCTGGTAATGTTGATTGAGTAGTAAGTAAATTATATGTACAGAAAATACATAACGCTCCTATGCATGTAAATCATCTTCCAACAGACACTTCTTTCCAGATGCTGGGAACTGGCCTGTGTGCAGGAGTCCCCAGCTGACCCCACTGAGGCGCCTAGGACCAGGCCCATGCTCACTTTAGGAACCTGAGCCCCCCAACCTCCTCAGCAAGGCAGAGCTGGGGGGCGGTGTTTTCTGCCTCTGGTCCTCATCCTCTCCCCCAGCTTTTTACCGACCAGCCTCCCCCTGGAGCTCTCGGGCTCTGAGGTCAGGGGGGTTGCAGGAGGCGGACCAGAGACCTGAAATTTCACACTTGGTTGCAAATTCTAGAAGATGCCAAAATCGGTGTGGCCATGGGGCGGGTCTGGGCTTTTCCAGAGCCCTTTCTGGGTTCTACAGGAAAGAGAAAAGCCGGTGGGGAGGCCCTGCTCAGGGGTGTGCCCACCCCCGGGTGCACTGAGACCCCCTCCCCACCCTGCGAGAAAGCAATGCGATTCGGGACGCTCCTTCCAGGTCCTGGAGCACAGACCGAGCAGCGTCCGGATCTGGGCCGGGCGAGGACGCCCCGGGGCCTGGGCGGGGACTCCGACCTTGGCGGGAGCTGTGAGGTCCCGCCCTGCCCTGCCCGGAGAGCTCCTTCCTCCCTGGCCGTCCAGGAGACTGGAGGAGACGTCTAACCTGTTGCACTTGTGTATTGACAAGTCCTCAGGCTCTGCAGGGTGCAGATCGCCCTGAATTAATCTGTTTGTTTAAACTGGTGGTGGGAACGGTCATCTTCCCTGCCATCCTGGGCACCCTGTCCCATCGCCCAGCGTGCCCAGGTTCCCAGGCTCGGGTCCTTTTCTCCAGGGGCCCTGGAGGCTCAGGCCCCGTCTGGGGGGCGGGTCTGCAGGTGGGGAGCCGCCAGCGCCTGGGCAAAGACCTCGTGTGGGTGAGGACCGCTGGCCACTGCGGGCCGGTGGCCCTGGGTTCCCTGTGACCCTGAGGCTGGACCGCCCGGGTGCAGGGTCTCGGCTCTGCGTGCGCTCAGGGCGCCTTCCCTTCGGCCCTCGCTGCCCCCATCCATCTCGGGTGGCCTCGCCTGCCCAGGTGGCCCTCAGGTGGACTCTCTGGTCGGAACTTGCGCCCCTGACTGTCTCCGCAGCCGTGCAGCACGAGCGGGGCCCTCGGACGTCCACCATCCGCAAGCAGGTGGCCCTCTACTTCCGTGGACACAAGGAGGACAACGGGGCGGCCGCGCACTTCCCCTCCGCCGCGCTGCCCGCCCCGGCCTTCTTCACCGCGGTCACCCAGCTGGAACCGCACGGCCTGGAGCTGGCCGCCGTGTCCGCCACCCCCGAGCGGCAGACCCTCGTGAGCCTGGCGCAGCCCACGCCCAAGGTCAGTGGCCTTGCTGGCCCCAGGGAGGGAGGGAGCAACGCACGCCAGCGGTGCCCAGACTTTAGGGACTGGACAGTCACCCCCGGAGTCACGGGAGAGCTGGACTCCCCAATTCACCCCCCTTTGAGAAACTCTCTGGAGGACAAGTTGGGGTGGTGAGCAGATTCGTGTCTAAAGTTATAGAACAGCCTTAAACTTCCGAGTGGCCAAAGGAAGACATTTGTTTTATTATTTTTAAAATTAATTTTCTGACATTTGCTTTAGAACAAAGTCTTTGGCTCCAGCTGGAGGAAGGGGCCTTGAGTTGCAAGTCTGTGGGATCTGCTCTCCTGGGCAAAGCAATGGGTCCCCCCAAATGAGCAAGAACTGTACAAACTGTCCTGGCAGAATCTGTCTTTTCACATGCACCCCTAAACTCCCTTCTGAGCCACACAGGTTTATACCAAGACTGAGCCCATGCCAGCAGAGCCTGAAGCCTGAACCAGCTCAGCAACTTGCCCCCTAAGGACTGTCCTGCAGTCCCAGGGCTCCCACTCCAGGGGGAGCAGGGCCTCCAATTCCCCCAGAGGAGGGCCAGCTGCAGGCCCACACTGCGGGAAGCCAAACACCTGGGCACATACACAAGCACAATATTTAATATTGCTTTCTTACCCTTGATGTGTATAATAAGCTTGGGAAAGTAGTGTTATGAATATGTTGTCAGTTATGAATGGGAATGCTCTGTGAATGATTAAGATGTCTAATTGAAATATTTCCATAATATACTAATCCTTTCTAAAAATACTCATATGCATATTTGTGTTTGGGATGCCTATTAATTTATACTTTTTCACATCTATTTTTATTTACACAAATGCAAGCAGCTCTTGTCTAAATTGGGAGCCAGGCCTGGCACTTGGCTGAGCCCAGGGAAAATTGGATGCAGGGGAAAGAGAAATCAGGCACCCTTTTGGAAGGGAGAGACCCCTCAAGGGTAGACATGTGCCTTCCCAGTGCACAGCCCTCCCCAAACTGCAGATACAGATGATGATTTTTTACCCACCTATGGCAACTGTATTTAAATAGACACCCAGGTTCCTTTTCATCCCCTCCTGTTTTAATTAGAAAAGCAGTTTGCCTCTCTGTGCAATGCAATGGTTTCCTCACGTTTTCTCTCTTCCCCTCCCAGTACCCCCACGAAGTGAACGGGACCCCGATGTATCTATATGAAGTGGCCACAGAGTCAGTGTGTGAATCAGCTGCCAGGCTCCTTTTTATGAGCATCAAGTGGGCGAAGAGTGTGCCAGCTTTCTCCACGCTGTCTTTGCAAGACCAGGTATGACCAGCAGGGCATGGAGGTCTTAGGAGTAGCAGGGCTGGGGCTGGGGATTTAGCTCAGCGGCATAAGCACCTGCCTTGCAAGTGTGAGGTCATGAGTTCGATCCCCGGTACCGATAAAAAAGAAAAAGACAAAAAAAAAAAAAAAAAAAGTGAGCAGGAGTAGCAGGGTTGGGCATAAAGCAATTTAATTTGTAGCATTTAGTCTGAGAAAACTGGATATTGCTTGGATAAATCTCTAAGGCAAACATGCATGAACAGCGAAGACAGAACTATTTTTACCGGTGTCTTTCTATAGATTCAGAATAATCTATCTGTAGAACTGTTAGTAAGAAATGTAATTATGTTATTTCAAAAAGGCCAGATCTGGCTTATGAAAAGACATGGAAAGAACATTATCTCTATTTTAGTTTAGCTGAAACATCAAACTTAACCTCAAATTTTAAAACCTTAGTCCTTTCCTTTTATAAGTTGCTGATAAATCTACTTTCTTAAGAACACTAAAGGGGCTGGGGATTTAGCTCAGCAGGCATAAGTGTCTGCCTTGCAAGCAAGCAGTTGTGAGTTCGATCCCCGGTACCGATAAAAAGGAAAAAGACCAAAAAAAAAAAAAAAAAAAAAAACAAACCACTAAAGCTGAGAAAGTGCAGGTGGTAAGGAGATTCTCTCGGGATTATTTTTAAAATTAGTCCCATAATTTTACACTTTTATGTCAGTTTATGTCATTCATCGTGATACAGTTCGGGCCCCTGACTTAGCAGCGTGCAGCAGCACAGGGCACGCTGCACACCTCTGCAAGCTGGGGTAGTTTGTGGTTCTGGTGCCTTTAGAGATCTCATAAATAAATGGGCATTTTGCATAATTCTGTGGTCATAAATGACATTGAGAGAGAAAATTGTGCGCAGCTAAATTTACTTTATACCAAAATGAAGAAATTAGGTTGTTTGGAATATCAAAAATAGCCCCTGCCAGTATTTTTCTAACGAGTAAGAGAAAGAAAATGAAATATTCACAGCCATCGGCTGTGACTTCTGTATTCATGGAAATTAATGACAGGTTGCCAAAAACTAAGTCATTTTTGGGTGCCTACCTCCGTTGGGCTGGAGATGAAACCCAGAGTCTAGCACATTGCAGACAAGAGTTCTACCTCTGAACTACATCCCAGGCCCTGATAAGTAGTTCTAAAAGCAAAGGATTTAATTCTCCAATTCTTTTCATGCTAATGAATGTATAATAGTGCCCTTTACTTAATATGAAGTATTTTTTGTCCAGGAAGACTGGGCAATGTGCTGAAACATTTAATCTTCTAGCACAAAGTAGCCAGAGTTAGATATTGTTTACCTTGTACATTAAAACGATTATTTCCTATACTTACTTAATGCAATAAAAGAAAAAATAAAGCACTTTGAAAGTTAAATCTTTTGGTCTAATTGTGATTTTGGTTATAAGCTTTCATGATTTTAGGTAGTTCTTTTACACATGTCGTTGAGAACTGGCTGATTTTTGAGGGATTTTTAAAAATAGCTATTATTTTTTCAAGATTGTTAGATCCTGTCTTTGACCAGGTGTTAGTTACTGGTTGGCTGTAGCATTCGGGGTGTGTGTGTGTGTGTGTGTGTGTGTGTGTGTGTGTGTCTGTGTGTTTGTGTCTGTGTTTGTATTGGCTCTTCTTTTTCTTAAACAAGTATTTGTATTCTTTAATCCAAACAAAATTTACTTTCTGTCTGCCACTTAGCCCTTTGGTAGAAACCCTTTGACAAGAAGCAAACTGTAGGGAAGTAGAATTTGATATATTAATTTTAAAAGGAGACAGATTTTCATTTAAATATTCAATAGCAGATTTTATTAGAATGAAAATGACAAGTACCTTGACGCTGTCCACTTATGAGTCTCAGAAAAATCAGACAGTGAGATGAGGTAAACCCAGTAAAACCCGATTAACATAATTACACCCTGATTTCCCCATGCCTCTTGGGAATTAGTGATCATGTCTCTCTCCCTCTCTCTCTTTCTGTTTTCCTTTCTCTCTCTCTCTCTCTCTCTCTCTCTCTCTCTCTCTCTTTCTCTTTCTCTCTGTCTCTGTCTCTCTGTCTCTGTGTCTCTCTCTGTCTCTCTCTGTCTCTGTCTCTCTCTGCCTCTGTCTCTGTCTCTCTGTGTGTGTCTCTCTCTGTCTCTGTCTCTGTCTCTCTGTCTCTGTCTCTGAGTCACTCTCTCTGTCTCTGTCTCTGAGTCTCTCTGTCTCTGAGTCTCTCTCTCTGTCTCTGTCTCTGTCTCTCTCTGTCTCTGAGTCTCTCTCTCTGTCTCTGTCTCTGTGTCTCTCTGTCTCTGTGTCTCTCTCTCTATCTCTCTCTCTGTCTCTGTCTCTGAGTCTCTGTCTGAGTCTCTCTCTCTGTCTCTGTCTCTGTCTCTCTCTGTCTCTGAGTCTCTCTCTCTCTGTCTCTGTCTCTGTGTCTCTCTGTCTCTGTCTCTGTCTCTGTGTCTCTCTGTCTCTGTGTCTCTCTGTCTCTGTGTCTCTCTCTCTCTCTGTCTCCCTCCCTGCCCGCCCCTCTTGGTCCTCCAGACCTGCAAGCTTAGTCATAATCAGTAGCCCTCACCTCTGACAACATTAGCATCCTGTACCCGGAGTCCACCTGCTGAGCTGCGGTGGCATTTCTGGGAGCCCTATCCCCAGAGAAGTTTCTAGGTGGTGAGAAAAGGTGGGAGCAAGGACAGGAGGGGGTAAATCCTTTTCTGAGAGAAGCAAACGCTGACTCTCAAATGCACATGGATATCTATAAGCACTTTTTTTTTAAAAAAAAAAGGAAAATATGGGAAATAAGAGAAAGCTAAAATATTCAGAAAAAGGTTTACCAAGACAGACTCTTAAAGTGCTTTTTTAAATAATGGAATTTACATATTGAAATTGTTTATAAATTTATAAATTACACACTATATTATATTATACATCTATTGTATGACAGCTGATGCTTTTGGAAGATGCTTGGAGAGAACTGTTTGTTCTAGGAATAGCACAATGGGCCATTCCGGTTGATGCTAACACTCTGCTGGCCGTTTCTGGTAAGAATTGCACAATTTAATGACTTTGTTGTAGAAATTACCATAAAAATACATTACTAGAAAAGAACAACATGTAAAGAATAACAAATTCCTGCTGAACAATAGAGTATACCTGTCATTTATAAATCTATATTTAGATGCAAATGATGTTGTTTTGTTGTATTCATGACTGCTTGCATTGTTATTTAAATGCAAATTACTGTGTTTGTTATCATCCAAGAGAAGATTTTGTATTAACTTTCATACAATATAGCCAGTTTACATGGAATCAGATATCTTAGCGTGACAATTGAATATTGATATGCAGTATTTTGTCAAAAATCAATATTAAATCATGAAAATGCCTTCGTATTAGAGTACTTATCCCATATTTTTATTCTAGGCATGAACGGTGACAACACAGATTCCCAGAAGCTGAACAAGATCATATCTGAAATTCAGGCTTTACAAGAGGTGGTTGCACGGTTCAGACAGCTCCGGCTGGACGCTACTGAATTTGCCTGTCTGAAATGCATTGTCACTTTCAAAGCTGGTGAGCAGATGCAGGCCCTGTCCCTGTCCCTCGTCCTTCTCCAGCTCACCACCTCATTAAATTCAGCCGCCTCAAAGTCTAGGTTGACTTTTGCAAAACGAGGGGACCTTTACAGGGGAGCTGGTTCTCTGAGCTGACCCTTGGCCCGTAGCTGTGGGGACCTGTGTGCTCTGCGGATGGGCTCCCACTGCATGTCCTGTGCTGTCTGCTACAGTGTCCCGCGCTTCCTTTCCAGTGCCCACACACAGCGGCTCTGAACTGAGAAGTTTCCGGAATGCTGCAGCCATTGCAGCGTTGCAAGATGAGGCTCAGCTAACGCTCAACAGCTACATCCACACCAGGTGACCCTTGTTTGCCTAGAACGTGTACTTAAGGAAATTGCTTCTATTGTGAGCATGTGAGCAGGCAGTAATAAGCCAGGTCTAACACTGTGACTAATTATCCTGTTGCCAATCAGTTAATTTAGTTAGAATCTGTGTCCTCACCTATCTCTCATGGCGGGTGACAGGCGCAAATCAAATTAAGAGATCAAGCTGAAAGCTTTGTTAGACCCTCCATGGCTGTCCTGGCTGAACAAGGTGACCAATCAAGGTAGTGGGCTCCATTGCTGTGAGTGGATCTGGGATGGTTCAGAAACGAAGGTGAACATCTCGTGGTTAATATACTACAGTGGTTGTATCGTCCTTGAAGAAAGATGTCTTTCTCCAGACGCCAATGCCAAAGAGAAGGACCAAGGAACTTTCTAGAGAGGCCATCTTGACTCCTCTCCTAGGTGATTGGTGTCGCTTGAGTAATTTCAAGCCATAGCATCCACCTTACTCCCAGCCTCTGGGTCCCCCTGGCAGAGGTTGTTGGTGGCTATTGTAGACACTGCAAAAACAGGAGCAAAGCACTGCCGGCCCAGCACTGAGCAGGCTCCCCAAGAGTTGTAGACTTTCTGATTCATTTTCAGATGCAAAACAGCCAGGACTTTGAAAGCCATGGAGGGCTGAGGATGGAGCTCAGAGGCACAGTGCCTGCCTGGAAAGTGCAAGGTCAATCCCTGGCATCCACATCCCAGGAAGGAAAGAAGGAAGGAAGGGAGGGAGAGAGAGAGAGAGAGAGCAAGCAAGCAATGGAACCTCTTTAGCTTCCTAAATTAGGAGTGTGTGATCTGAGAATAGCAGAGAATTATTGTTTATTCTCAAGATTGGAAGCCTTTATCAACTCACATCAGCCATACACACTGATGGCACAACCACATCCAGTGGGTGGAGGCCGTTGATGCCTCCTCTCCTAAAGGCCCAAGAAATCCCAAGTTGACTATTACCCACTGGGGGTGATACCACTTCTGCTAGGATCTGATTAATTCTGTTATAAATTCTCTCTTTTTAATTTTTATAAATAAAGAAAGTAGTTCAGGATGGCCTTGAACTCGCTCTGTAGACAAGCTGGTCTCAAACTCACAGTGATCGTCCTGCCTCAGCCTCCAAGTGCTGGAATTATGGGAGTGGGCCACGACCCCCAGCCATAAATTCTCTTTTGAGTGCTAAATGAATAAATATTCTTTATCCATGGGATATCATTGAAAAAACTGTATTGAGTAATAGTGCATATGTATATGTTTTTGCAAAGTAAAGTGCCCTTGTTTAAAATTTTAAATCTGCATTGAGTCCATTAGGCAGTTAGTGTTTGTTCAAGACTACAAAATGGAGCAGTGCACACATAGTTCGGGCACTCTTCCCCACTAAAAACAGGCTTATACCCCAGACTTGATCTCGACATCCAAAGCTTTTAGAATATATATATATATATATATATATATATTATTTTGTCTTTTTTGAGATGGGGTCTTACTGTGCAGTTCAAGCTGGCCTTGAGCTCACTTTGTAGCCCAGGCTGGTCTCGAACTCGCAACCATCCTCCCACCTCAGCCTCCCGAGTGCTGGGATTACAGGCATGAGCCACCTCCCCCGGCTCCCTTTTAGAATATTAAGAACGCCTGAGAATGTGATGTTCCTTGCCGGTTCAGCCCAGCCTTTCTGGGCACTTGCCATGTGTGGGACTCGGGGTGGCCATTGCAGGGCCAGGAAGAACAAGGCACCGTCCCTTCCCCTTGTGTGAAGTGGGCAGAAATGCCACTTCAAGCAGACAGGTCAGAAACAAAGAGCCCGATTGCAGGGGTGAGGAGATGAGCTCTGACCGGGAGAGAAGATCCATCTCTGTGGCCAGTGGAGATGGCCGTGGGCGTCGGCCCCTGAGTGTGGGAGCAGGGAAGGGGGTGCCACAAGAGCCAGGGGAGGAGCTGGAGGTGCCAGGGGAGCGGCCCAGGCGCACGCTACCAAGGGGACCCGCGGCTGTTTAGAGGAGTGGTGTGGGCAGCGCCTCAGCTTCACCCCCTCGGGAAACCCCTGGCTCCCCATGGGGTTCTTATGTCAGGACATCAGCTACAGTTACAATTAGTGTTAATATCTAGAGTCATGCTGTGATAAAAATCAGCGTGCTTTATTTCTTATTCTGAGTAAAACAAGAAGCTAGCACAGAAACTGAGCTCCTCGTTTCCGTCCTATAAGTACCCAGGACATAAGGAGCGGGCCAGGAATTGGCATTCAACATGGATGTTACACGTGGAGCTCAGGCACAGGTGTGACTCTGTGACTGACACACAACACGACACTGAAAACTAGCTATTTTGCCAGTGGAAGGAGTCAGGAGCACAGTCTCCCCTCGCCCTCCATGCACACCCAGTGTACACACACAGTGATACTATTTCCGGGTAGTACGTTACCCGACCTATAACAGAGTATAACATTTACTGACTGACCAGTTCTTTTCCAATTAGGAAATAGAAGGAGTGGATAAACAGAAGATTAGAAAATGAATCTGCAGAAAAATCAACAGTTAAACCAGCTGGTACATGCCTGTAATCCCAGCATTCAGGAGGCTGAGGCAGGAGGGTTGTTCTGAGGCAGAGGCCAGCCTGGGCTACACACTGAGTTCAAGGCCAGCTTGAACTACATAGCAAAGCCCTGGCTCACAAAGACCACCAAAAAAAAAAAAATCAATAGTTAATTGGGAGGCTGGAGTACGTGCCTAGCGTGGAGGCCCTGGGTTCAATCCCCAGCAACACACATGTGCACACACACACATATATACACATGCACACACATACATACACATGCACACACATATACACATATATAATTGTCTATGGATTTTCCAAATCCATGACTTCTGCAAGTAATGTTTTCCACAGTGGTCTCTCGTCCTGGGAAATGGTCAGCAAGTCAGGTGTCTGCTGCAGACCTGGCGGTCTATCTAGGCAGCTGCTGCCCTCAGACCTCCACAGGGCCATCTCTCTTCTCTGTCCGATTCCACGAAGGGGAACATAAGACCGCTGCAGTGAAAGGCAGACATGAGACACACTGAGCCAGGAGCGCCAGTGGTGGGACTTGGGTTTGGTTTTGTATTAAACGTAGATAAGCTTCACTGTTTGCATAGCGTGTTATTAAATGTGTCCCCGCCCCTGGTGGACAGTGTAGGAACCTGATGACCCTGCAGAGGCCCAGAATGAATGATAAGCCTTGTCTTTGGTTAAAAGGCAGAAAAGTGGCTCTTGTGGACTGTTGTAGCAGGCGGCCTCATCAGGCAGTTAGACACGGCTAGCGGACTCCTGGAAGGAAGTTTGCTGTCTGTCAGTTACCGGCACTATGATCTGTACCAAGTGTGGTCAGTCACACCTTGGTGTCCTCGGAGCTCAGTGCGTTGGGTGGTTTGTTTCCAGGAGGGAGCCCCCCTTGAGGAGCGTACTGATACCTGCTTCTAAGCTATAGACAAAAAAGACGGGGCTGCAGTAGGAGGTGATTTATAGGCATCTTAAAGACAGCAGAAAATTGAACTTGCACGTCCGAGTATAGATGTGTGTTGGACATCAAGAGAGAAAATTGTTAAGCAATTTCTCACGTCTTTAATTATGTGCCAATTTCATTGACATGAAAGTTGGGTGGCACTGCCACCCAACAGAACTTAGCCTTTAATTTGCAGTGTAATAAGGACAGAATTATTCCTGCGAGTGACTAAGTATAATGCCTGAATAATAATTTGGAGAATTGCTTAGAAAAAGAAGCCATTTTATCTGAGGGAACTAGTTTCATGAAGGAGCCTTAAGAATCAGAAAATGTGGATTCATTTCTTGTTAGCTTTATCATTGGCATCATGGTCACTTTCTACAGTGGCAAACTCAAGTTTAATATTTGGGCCTAAAATTAGTTTCTTTCTTTTTTATTCCTTTTTTTTTGTACTGGTGATTGAACGCATGGCTTTGTGCTGAGCTACATTTCTAGCCTCCTTTTTTTATTTTTGAGACAAGGTCTCACTAAATTGCTAAGCTGTTCAAGGTGGTTATGTTCTTTTCTCCTCTTTCACCCTCTTCCTGTGGGATTGAACCCAGGACTTTTTCACTACATGCCAGTGCTATATTTACTTATTTATTAATTTTTTTTAAATTGGTACCGGGGATTGAACTCACGACTGCCTGCTTGCAAGGCAGGCGCTTATGCCGCTGAGCTAAATCCCCAGCCCCTATTTATTAATTTTTTTTTTTTTGGTCATTTTCGTTTTTATCGGTACCAGGGATTGAACTCGCGACTGCCTGCTTGCTATTTATTAATTTTTGATACCAGGAATCAAACTCATGACCTTGCTCTTGCCAGGCAGGTGCTGTGCTGCTGAGCTATATCCCTGTCTCCCCCCGCCTTTTATTTTTAATTCTGGTTTTAGACAGGATTGTACCAAGTCACTAAATTATCCAGACTGGGCTCAAATTTATAATCCCCCTGCCTCAGCTTCCCAGAGTGCTGAGAATACAAGCATGCATCACCATGCCTTCCCCTGTCATGTTTCTAAAACTTTTAGGGGCTGGGGATTTAGCTCAGCGGCATAAGCGCCTGCCTTGCAAGCAGGCAGTCGTGAGTTCGATCCCCGGTACTGATAAAAAGACTTAAAAAAAAAAAAACAAAAACTTTTTTCCTCCAAATAAAATAAATTAACATAATGAAAATAAATAACATAAATAAATAAATAAATGAAAATAACATAATGAAAATAAAGTGGTTTCAGAACCCCGCTGCGGGGCAGTGTGTTACTTGAGGAGGAGACGACGTGTGTTTGAGTGTAAGCTGTTACTTCCCGTGCGTGCTGGGCTCTGATGTCGCTCCACGGCTTCTCGTGTTGCAGATACCCCACCCAGCCTTGTCGCTTTGGGAAACTCCTGTTGCTCTTGCCCGCTTTACGCTCCATCAGCCCATCAACCATAGAAGAAGTGTTTTTCAAAAAAACCATTGGCAACGTGCCAATCACAAGACTGCTTTCAGATATGTACAAATCCAGTGATATCTAAGCTCTCCAGCCCCGGCTGTCCAGGATGGGACAACGTCAGATGGACTTCTACCCGTGGACATCGAGCCTCAACTAACAAACCCTTCAGGAAGCATACATCTGGGAATGTGTAGCCTTCAGGAAATATATCAGTGGATACAAAACAGTTCCAGTAGCTGTGACCTGCTGCCTCAACTGGGGTCGGGCAGCCTAGGAGGAAAGGGCTGAGCGGGACCACCCGATGACAAACTCCTCACCGTGGTGCCGGGAGGGGCCAGCTGGGGGCTGCTGCAGGCCGAGCCCCCTGCCTGACCTGGGACACCAGGCAGAGCCATCAAAAGCTAAGACAAGTCATGCTGTCTTTTCCTGTTTAGCACATAAAGTTGGGTGAGCAGATATAGCTCCATGTATAACATCATTCTGCGGCCTTCAGAAGTATGTTACGTTGGAGCATTTATTTTTAAAATACTGGCTAGGCTTTAAATCAAGAGTATTATCAAAAGTTTCCCTTCTATTGTAATGCATCATAAGTGGCCTTCGGAACCGAGGTAACTGGTGAAGAGTAGCTTACGCTGTGTGGTTTGTTTTTACTCTCTCTCCCCCATCTCCCTTTTCCTTTTTGTTCTGTTCTTTTTCCTTTCCTTCTTGTTTTTAATACCATAGGCCAGGCAGCCTTGTCGGAGGAATCGGTGGATGGAAGTGAAGTTCTCTCCGGGACTTCAGCTTGGATGCCATCTCAGAACCTGAAGAGATGAGAGGGGATGAGGAAAAACAGCAAAACCAAAAAACGTGGGGATGTGTGGTCCAGTGAAGCCGAGTGCAGTCCTGTTAAGGCAGTGCCAAGGCCAAGGCAAGGGTCCGAGCTCACGGCTCTGCTGCCCACGCCAGGCACCGAAACAGTGCCCGGAGGAACTGCGGGGGGAGAAAGCTGAGAGGTTCCGTGACTGATCTGTGCTGATGGCCTGAGACTCTTCAGCGCTTTCCTAGTAAAGCCTTGAATGCACACACAGAGGCATGCGTGCACACACAGAGGCACGCGTGCACACACAGGCATGCGTGCACACACAGAGGCACGCGTGCACACACAGAGGCACGCATGCACACACAGAGGCACGCGTGCACACACAGAGGCACACATGCACACACGCTGCAGGTCCCTCACTGTCAGTCAGCTGCTCCTCTGGTATGAATCGATACTTACGGAAACGTAGAAACAAACATTTTTAAATAGCTGGTGTACTTTTCACATTTTGGTCTATTAGGAACTAGCACCGAGGAAAACAATCCAGCACTTGGACTATCATAGGATGAGTTAAAGTTTTCTTGTACAGAGTGAATTAACTGATTTGTGAAGTTAAAAGGCTGTACTCATTGTATTTACAAAGAATAAAAATATATTGAATTTAAACAAATTCGGCCTGGTTTCTTTACCAGCCTCCCTGGCTGCTTCTGACTTGCCGGATTCAAGGTGGGGTCGGCAGCTGTTGAATCTGAGGCGCGAGCACAGAGCCGAAAAACAGAACGACAAAGGCAATTTCCTTTTTACAGTGAATGCCATTTGTAAAATGATGAATAAAGAAATAAGACATAAGATTCAATTCTCTGCAGCTCTCCCATGTAATTGCATCTGTTAGAAAAATTGCTGTGTGAGGAGGAAAGAGACCGATTAAAAGTCTTCACTCTCCCCCGTTTCTAACTCTCTTGCCGACATTTCAGTCTGACCAGGAACTTTAAATCACTGAATGATCAAGAAGATGAAGTGTTTAAAAAAAAAGATGAAGGGTTAAAAAAAAAAAAGAAAAGAAAAAGAAATCCTGGTGAGGAAGACGCAGAAGGAGCCATAGTCCAGTGTTCCCGGAAAATCGCAGGGCAGCGGCACAGTCCCAAAAGCCCCAGGCCTGGCGCCTCTGCTGTCACCTGAGACCATGTGTCGAGGGGCTTGTCCCCTGCTTCCACAGAGCAAGGGCTGTCTGTCTCAAACGAAAAGCAAGTTAGCCTAGAGATGTACCGATGATACAGCATGTGCTTGACATTCCCTGGCTCAGTCCCCAGAAGCACCACACACATGCACACATGCACACACGCACACACACACACACACACACACACACACACACACCCCTACAAGGCACTCAAATATTTGCAAACAAGAATGTTCAATATTCCTTGCACTTTTGTTAGTTTTCAACAATATAAATGTCCAGCCACCGAGAATAGATACATTGTAGTTGATGATGTTACAGCTGTTAAAGGGAACAGCCAGAGCCCATGTTTCCATCTGGGAAAATCTGGAATTTCACCTTAGAATGCGAGGGAATTGCACAGATCCATGCAGCTTGCTGTCGTCTATTATACTTACACGTCTTATACCTACAGGAAAGTACTGCATAGACACATGGGTATCTAAACATACATCAAACACTCAAGCATGAGGCCGGTGAGAGAGCAGTATAAGCACCTTCCTGACAAGTGCAAGGGCCTCAGTTCAATTCCTGGTACAAAATAAAGAAATAAACAAGCACGATCATTTATGGTAAACACTAACTCATGAGAGTGGGTCCCCTGTGGGAATAGATAGGCTTGCTAAAGGGCACCAAAAACAACAACAAAAAAGTCACATATTTCTGTAATGATTTATTTTACAACAAAAGAAAAAAGCTGAAACACCTATGATATCAAAGAGAAGATTTGGAAAACTGGATGATGGATCCAACACTACCCCAGATAACAACCCCAGAAGCTTAAAGAAATAAGCTTATTACTTGCTCGGGGACTGTCAGCCATCTATGGCTCTGCAGGGCTGGGCGTCAGCCTGTGGTGTGGGTCCAGATGTGCACCAGGGATCCCTCCTTCTGGACCGGCAGCCGCTCCTTCCCATAGTGGCCTGCAGAAGGGCAAAAGGCTGAGCGGCCCCGTGCAAACACACTGCTAGCTACAACTGGCCTCGGTTGTTCACTTTTCACTTCCAGGAGCCAGATACAGGCCAAACCCAACCCTAGAGGAGCAGAGGATTACTCTCCTGGGAGGTGGTTCAGGGGCGGAGGCTCACCAAGCGTAATGGAATCGAGTACAATTATGATCTCCTTTACCGAATCTCAAAGAGTCTCCGCAAAATTACAAAGCAATGATTCCTGGGACAAGCCTTAGAACACTGTAATGTCTTCACTGTCAGTATCTCTGCTGTGGAAAACAAGAATCAAATCTGGCTCTCAATCTTTGAAAAGGCCCAGAATTTAAAAATCGGTTGAAGTCCCTCCTGGGATTTTGGAATTTCTGCTGCAGTCGCTGAGCATGGGATCCTTGGGCACCTGAAGACCCTTACTGCTGCCAGGACTTAAGGTGGACCTGTCTGCAGCTAGCATTTAGGGAGCTGCTTCAGCGGCTCTGAATGCATGTTCAAGATACTTGAATACATTTTCAAGTTTGAATATATAAGCAAGAGAAAGCAAGCCCTGCCAGGAGGTCACTGTTGTCAGAGCTGCAGAGCTTCTCTGACAAACGGACTTTGTAAATCCGGAGAGTTGCTTTTCATAAGTTTGAGTGCATATCGTGCGGCAAGGTACAGAGACTTACATTTGTGTTTGGATTATTTTTACTGGGTTTTTGTGCAAGGAAAGGGAGGACAGATGTATTCAGGAACATCTCTGAACTAAGACTCACATTGCTTCAGTTCACTTCAATGTCTTTAATCAAATTTAGAAGGTAAGAATTAAATTCATTGGCCAGTACATGCCTTATGCTGCTGTGCGTGTGCGTGTGCGTGTGCGTGTGCGTGTGCGTGTGTGTGTGTGTGTGGTGCTGGGGATAAGCTGAGGGCCTTGCACGTGCTAGGCAAGGCCTCTACCACTGAGCTATATCCTAGCCCCCTAAATATATATATATATTTTATCTTTATTTATCTATCGGTACCGGGGATCAAACTCACGACCGCCTGCTTGCAAGGCAGGTGCTTATGCCACTGAGCTAAATCCCCAGCCCCCTATATATTTTTTTTAAAGACAGGGTCTCACTATGTCTCACTATGTGGTTAAAGCTGGCCTTGAACTCACTATGTACCCCAGACTGGCCTCAAACTCGTGGTGATCCTCCTGCCTCGACCTCTGGAATGCTGGGATAACAAGTATCTGCCACTAGGCCCTGCCAGCTGCTTAATAATTTTTATAAGAATGGAAGGCTACAAGGCTGGGAATTTAGCTCAGCGGCATAAGTGCCTGCCTTGCAAGTGTGCAGTCATGAGTTCGATGCCCAGTACCAAAGAAAAAAAGAATGGAAGGCTACTTTTCTGCAGGTTGTGTGTGTGTGTGTGTGTGCATTTCTGTCTCTCCTGGTGAATATGTACGCTAATATATGCTATCACTCAACTTATCTGCTTAGAACTGCAGGCTGTGAGCTAAGACTGCATTCTGTGCATTCATAGTTCTAATTCTTCGTTGACAGAGTTGGGTGATTTGCAGTTTTTCACTTTAACAAATTAAACTTTAAAGCACTAACTTCCCTTGTGTACCTTTATGGATTCATGGCAGTATTTCTGTAAGATAAATTTTTACAAATACTATTTCTGGGTCAAAGATTATATGCATTTTTAATTTTGATAGATACAGCCGAATGTTTCTCTAAAAGGGTTGTATCAATTTGCACTCCTGCCAAGAGGATGTGAGAGGGCCCATTTCATTGCTCAGAATTTAAAAGTGCTTAATCAGACACTGATGAACACTTCAGAGGCTGTTAGAAAAATAGAGAACGCATATGTTTCTATTATGACCATGTGCCTGCTACAATGCTTACTGAACTGCTTAAGTAGGTCTCACCCTGTTACCGATAGTTAGAGCTTGGTCCCCCCAATTTTTCAGTCCAGGACACTGTGAACTTTTAGGAATATCTGTATCAAAATGAAGGTGGAGAGAAAATGCAAAGTCTGAGCAGTTTGGCTGACACTTTGCACGGCTAAGGTGCTCTGAGAATCTCAGCTAAGTGGGCTGCAGGGATAGCACAGGGGCAGAGCACCTGAGGCCCTGGGTTTCTATCTGCAGCCCCAGCACTGGGAAAAAAAATGCAGCTACTTATTGTATATACTAACTTTTAAAATACAGTAGTGTACATTGCTTCTGGAAAATGAAGAACAGTATCTCTTAACTAACTCTAATACCTTTAGCAAAAGTGACACATGGAGCATTCCCCATGCACTCTGCATTTTTATGATGTTTAGAATTTTAGAACTCGGGGCTGGGAATTTAGCTCAGCGGCATAAGCATCTGCCTTGCAAGTGCACAGTCATGAGTTCGATCCTCAGCACTGAAAAAAATTTTTTTTTAGAATTCATCCAGAGCACATGGAAGCTCCTCTTCTCTGCACACTGCTGACCTCATAGAACTGCTGGGCAAGGTCATCAGCACTTGCGGCTGCACACTGTCAGCTGGGCCTGTCAGCAATGTGGCAGGGACAGAGTCTTAGATGAAGAAACCAGGATGTTGCCACATACCCTGGGCTTCTTTGTGATGTGCTGAAGTGCTGACATGCTTTTCTGGAAAACCATGAGTGGCTAATGTGTTGAGGATGCCACGGTCTTAGGTTTGCCCTTGGGACAAGCAAAAGGGACTTATTCTTTCATGGCACAGTTTCCTCTAATATTTACCAGTCACGGTGCCCTGGGGGGACTAAGCAAGAGTCAGGAGAGAGACTTGGTTCCTGTACCGTGAACTTACAGCTTCTGCACCACCAATGGCCAGTCCAGGCCCAGGAGAGGGAGTACTGACCAGGGCGAAGAGAATGGAGTCTAGTATGACCACTATGATCTGGGGCAAGTAGGCTAAGCTCTGTGCCCCTCTGGGCTTCACCTGTATAAAGGGGTGCTGGCCTCAGAGTTGCCTAACTTCCTCCCTTCATTACCACACCTCATCACCATCTTTAAGTGAGGCCAGAACTCCTGGGGAGCAAGAACTAATCAGATCAGCACATTTCTCACTGCACTTGGCCTTAGCTAGCACTACCCCTTGCCGGCATCAGATGCTGACCACTCAGGCCAGCGTCTGTAGGGCGGAGCCCAGGTGGTGGGGTTTTGGGGCAGCATGGGTGAGAGAGATGAACCCTAGAACGTGGTGTATACTAAGCATGTGCTCTACTGCTGAGCGGCACCCGCAGCTCCCAAGTGAGTGGAGCGCTAAGGGTGAAAAGCACCGACAAGGGCTTGGATCCCACCCTGGGAAAGGGGGCTGCATCTGCGGACTCCGGGGTCGGCGCCTTTCCTCCCTCATACCTAGTAACTCGCCCTTACTCTCTGGTGACCTTTTAAAAAGTTAATTCTTCCCCCTCTTTGCCTGCTCTGGCCTATCACTGAACTTACCCAACTGATTGTAGCTCTTGTGATTGAGAACCTCTTCTGACCGCTTCCCTTTCCCCAGAAATTAACGTGATC